AAAGTGGAAAATCAGAGCAGTTTGCAGCAATTGCGCAAAACTTTAAAGCATTAACGAGCCATTAACAAGTTTGGTCAATAAATTTGTATTACGGCCAATTAAAAGCGAATAAAAATGGCACAAAAAAAAAAAAAAAAAAAACCAGAGAAAATGTAAACAGCAAAAAATAAAGAAGCCAAACGGAAAATACATAAATAAATAAATATAGCACAAATGGCCAACAAATTTCGATTAGGCAACGCTGGGCGAGAAAATTTGTGTTTGTCACGCCCCTCAGCCTCCATGGACCAGTCATCAAGTTCACTTACACATTTGCGCCACACAAAATGTTGCAGCACGTTGCATTGATTTATTGTGGCTGAATTAGAAGTCAGCAGATAACGAGCAGCGAGCCACCAGCCGGGCGGGGGCGGGGGACCCGATGGAGACTGAAGCTAGCTGGCCAAAGATTCCAGGAGGCATTGTTCTATGGCAGAGAAAGAGAGAGAGAGAGCGAGAGAGAGATGGAGTCCAATTCTCCTCGGCTGGGTCAACTTAATACGCACGCGTAATCGTATATTTATTTAAATTTATTGCTGCCAGCTACTGTGCGGCGTGCGCAGACTTTTGGCTGCCATTGTTGCAAGAGTTTTGCAGCAGCTGAATTTGCCAAGTGGCATTCGCTATTCGAACTGAGAGACGGAGTCTCTGGCCCTAAGTGAATTTCTCTGGACAGTGGCCTGGAGTATAGGGCGTCTCTTTCGCTCGCTGTCTACGTGCAGCATAAGAAATATTCAATTAATCACAGTTTATGGTTTAGTTACAACATTTGTTGCAATTTTTCTTGCTTTGCCACTGACGCTTTATTACAATTGTTGCTTCAATTGTTGTTGCTGGTGCTTGTTGTTCTCTGCCATGTTTCCAACTTGTAAGCAATTAAATTTCTCTCAGTGTGCGTGTGTGTGCATGACTTTCAGCTTTGCTTAATTAATTGCACTCAGTGTAAAGCTTTCGAGTGCTGTCCAGTGACTCTCCAGTCCGTATTTATTCTCAACTCAGCTCAGCTCAGCCCAGCTCAACTCAGCTCAGCTCTCTCTCTCACTCTATCTCTCTTTGTCTGCTTCTATTCCTTTAGGTTCTCCAACATTACGTTTTTGGTTTTTCACCAGCATGTGAGAGTGAAACTATGCTACGGGAATTTGATTTTGTGTTTTGTGTTTTCTGTTTGAGTTGCCAGAATGCAATGTGTGCAGCTAATTCCGTTTGCTACTGTAGTTTAAAGGTAAGAAGTGCTTGAACCATTCGATGAAAATGCAATTTAAGCTGGCGGAATTCGGAGTTGCTTAAAGGCAAACGAGTTGAGTTAATTTAAGCTTAAGTTACACCCATGTACATGGATAGATAGTACTCAGAAATATAACTATAAATTGCTTGAAAGTTCAAGATTTGAGTAGGGCTCAAGCAGGACTTAGATCTTGAGATATGCAAGCATTTAGTTAGCATTTATGCATTTTAATTATTTAAGGCCAGCTTTAATTTGAAGCATAGTCTGATTGACCAAAACAATTGTATTAAAAAAAATATATATATTAATAATAATAATAATAATAATAAAAAAAAAAAATAATAAAATAAATAAATAAAAAAAACATTAATAATAATTAAGACTTTTAAACTAGGTTAAAACTAATTAGCTAGTAATGTATATCTAATTATAAATAAATAACTAAATACCATATAAAATAAATAAATAAATTTCAACATTTTTACATAATTCCCATGAACTTTATAGCAGAAATTGTTGAAATTTGTAGCTTACAGGGTATCTGCTAGTGGGTCACATCATACTAAATCACTTGGACTTGTTTTCAATTACTGAGATTTATATAATGTAATAATGAAAAATCATTTATTAATTAACATATAAGCGAGCAACAAATTAAATGTTTTTCCACCAATTATTTATGTTAATTAAAATGCCATAATCTGCATTTTAATGCAAAAGCAAATTGCCGTTATATATATTATGTATAGCATATACTTTGAATATATAAGAGGTATTTACTTATTGCCCGCCTTGTTTTATGAATATTAATTCAATTTGATATCTGGGCTTATTTAGAGAAAAATTCGATTGCCCGCTCTGCATTAAGCTATCAATCATTAATCCACTGCGTTTGGTAGACGCGTTTGACCCGCTTTTTAAATATGCATCGGCAAACGCAATTGCAAATTGCAATTACAAAATCATATTTGCATATGCGAGGCTTTTCATTTGTCACTTTCATAAATAAGCGGCAATAATTTCAATGCCCATTGCGAGTGCAAAAGATACATAGATACATAGATACATAGATACATAGATACATAGATACATAGATA